AGGACAAGATGCTGACATTATATCTTGTCTAAACAATATTAGTACAAACTTTCTTCTCAGTGAACTCAGAGAAAGTAGCTGTGTGTCTATCCTAACTATCTTGTATATACATGTATTTTTTTCACAACAAAATGGAAAGGGCCAGCCAAATAGCTCAGCAGATTAAAGGATCTGCAAAAAGGCACAGGGGCTGAGGGTTTGATCCCTAGGCCTGCCTGCCAGCCTCGCACCCCCCTCCCCAGGGTGCATTGAGACTGCGATTGAGACTGGGTGTGGTGGTGCACACCTGTAATCCCAGCACTTGGGAGGCTGTAAACAGGAAAATCACTATGTGTCTGATCTACTAGTGAGACCCTGAACACCATGTGGATACTTCCTTAAAAATAAAGAAAAAAAATGGACCTTTGTTTATATTCCCCTCTTTTGTCAGAGGTGGGTGTTCCATTGTGGTTAGAGAAGCTGTATTTGGAGAAGTCTTTAAAAGACCTTTTCATACTTGATGCTAGTCCAAGGATTGTAGGTACTTGAATTCAGCAAAATAACCCAATATAGTCCAATAGTCCATAGTAGTAGGTAAATCATTCTTACAATTTATTTGGAACTAGAAAAGACCTAGAATAGCAAAAGCAATCCTGGGCAACAAAGGCAAAGCAGAAGACATTGAAATGCCTGACTTGAATTTCTAGTATAAAGCTACTGTGATAAAAATCAGCATGGTACTGATTAAAAATAAATAAATAAATACAAATAAAAAATAAAACCTGAGGATCAATGGAATAGATATAGATGTAGATGCAACTACAAACATACTCAGCCATCTTATCTTCGACAAAGGGGCTAAACATGTTCACTGGAAGGAAAATAGCCAATTTTTCTCTTTTTTTTTTGTATTTTAGGGAAGGGTCTACAGGGTATTTAGGGTCTCACTACTAGATTCAACTTATAGTGATCTGCCTGTTTACACCCTCCCAAGTGTTGGAATTACAAGTGTGCCCCACCACTCCCAGTCTCAATTGCTGTCTCAGCATACCCTGGGGATGGGGGCCTGCATAGCAGGCCCAGGGATTGAACCCCTGGCCCCTGCACCTGCTTGCTGGTGTTTTAATCTGCCAAGTTATTTGGCCAGCTGTAAGATAGCCTCTTTAACAGAAAATGCTGGAAAAACTGCAAAGTATCTTTTCAAATGATTAATCACTTACTTGTATACCATCTTTGGAAAAGTGTCAACTCAAATCTTTTGTTGGAATTTTTTTCTTTTATTATTTTCTGTTAAATTTGCATATTATTTAATGTTAAAGATATAATTATGAAATGGCCTACACAATTTGGAAACTGCATCTCAGTTCATGAGAATAGAAGTAAGTAGATACAGTACACCAAGAATCCTACTTCATGACCGGAGCAGCATGTGTCTCGGTCTTCTATTGGTTGTTAAATTATCCAACAACAGCATCCATGGCATCCTACAAAACCATCATTTTGTCCATTTTTTTTTTAATTCTTTTTTTTAATTTATTTTTTATTTATTAGAGAGAGAGAGAGAGAGAAAGAGAGAGAGAGAGAGAGAGAGAGAGAGAGAGAGAGAGAGAGAGAGAGAGAGAGAGAGAGAGAGAGTGGTGTGTGTGTGTGGCCAGCTCAGCCCACCAGGGGGCGGGCTGGCTGGCCTGTGGTGCTGGGGGATTGAACCGCGGTCCCTGTGCTTTGCTGAACTTGTTCTAAGTAGGTGCTTTAGACCACTGAGCCATCTCTCCAGCCCATTTTGTCCATTTTTAATTGGTTCATTTCACTGTGCCATTGTACCAACTATATATTCTAGCTACAAGCCATTAATATGGTAAATCTGCAGGTATATTTTTCCCCGTTCTATGATTTGCCTTTTTACTTTCTTAATGGAAAGCCTGAAGTATGATAGTTTTTTTATTTTAATTAAATCAATCTATGTAAAAAAAAAATCAATCCATGTATTTTTCTTTTTTTACATGCTTTTAGTAAAAGACCTCAAGAAACAACTCAATGTCACAAAGAATTACTGTTTTGTTTTTGTCTATGAGTTTTATAGCTCTAGTGCTTATCTTTAGGCCTCTGTCCAATTTTGAGTTGATTTTGTTGTACTATTAGAATGCAACCTCATCCTTTCACAAATAGGTATGGTGCTGTCTCAGTATAGCCTACTAAAAAGATTGTTTCTTTATTTTCTTTTGTTAGTACTTCTTTGCAGTGCCTAGTGACTGCATTCATTGCCGAGGTGGCACATGTGTAACCCTTGTTAATTCCTTCTGTTTCCCTTTCCCACACCCCTACCGCCTCCTTCTAGATCCTCTTCCCATCTCCTTTCCCAACTACAGTTTCATTTTCTTATTGGGTTAATTCCTAACTACTTCACTTTTCCTGAAGTTATTGTGGATAGTGTTATTTTCCTAATTTCTCTCTTGGTGCATTCATTATTGGTGACTGCATTAATGATTAAAAGGTTATTTTTTATGCAGTAAATTTTCTTGGCACTCTTATCAAATGCCTATTAGCCCTGGCTAACCCTGTATTCCAAAGTGGAGTAGAAGGGATAAGAGCAGTGGAGAAGAATCTCTTTTGTTTCTGATCTTGGTGAAGGCAAGCATCTACTTTTTCACCATTAAGTGTAATAGCAACTGCAGATTTTAAGTTAATGACATTTATACCCTTCATTTCCCTTCAATACCTAGTTTGGGAACACTGATCAAAAGTCAATTCAGCATAAGTAGTGGCTTATTTCTGGTCTTTCTGTTCTAGTCTATGTGCCTGTGCGCCAGCCTTATTTAGATGACTTGCAGTCTTAATTCCTATAGCTTTGTATTAAGTTTTTAAATTGAAAGTGCAACCCTTCGATCCTTTGGGTTTTTTTTTTTTAATTTTCATATCTATTCATAGACTCTTCTTAGACGCTCTTATTTTTATCTTGAAAGAGTGTTCGGTTTGTTAAATGCTTTTTCTGCATCTGTTGAAATGTTCTCGATTTTTTTCCCCTTTCAACAGTTTTGCATCCATATTCATCAGGAATATTGGGCCATGATTTTCATTTCCTGTGATGTCATTGTCTAGTTTTAGTATCAGAGTAATACAGGCTTCATAGGCTAATCTAAATTCCCTTCTACTTTTTCTAAGTGTTTGTGAATAATTAGTATTAAATACAATCTAAACATTTGGTAGAATTGACATTTATAAGTTATGCAGATCTGGGATTTCCTTTGTGAAAAGTTTCAATATTATTATTGTTATTTTAATTGCTATATCAATATCTTTGCTTGATATAGATCTATTCAGATTTTGTTTCTTCTCTAGTCAACTTCTGTAGTCTACATCTCTCCAGTAACCTATGTATTTAATTTATATTTTCCAATTTATTTCTATTTAATTTTTCATAGTACTACCTTAAAATACTTATTATTTTGGTATGATTGTTACTGATGTAACTTCTTTCAGTCCTGAATTCAATAATTTTTTTTTCAGGTTTTTTGTTGTTGTGTTTTTTGTTTTTCCTCCCTGTATTTTGTGCAGGGTCTCACTATGCAGCTCGGACTTGTAGTGATCCTCCTGTTTTCATCCGCCCTAGTGCTGGGATTACGGTGTGCACCACTATGCCCAGACTTAGTAGCTGGCTCAGCGTGCATGGGGGCAGGGCTGGCATGGCATGTGGTGCCAGGGATCTAACTCCAGCCCCTGTGCTTGCTTCTCTGAGCTATCATGCTGGTCCTTGAATTTAATAATTTGAAGTTCATTTTTCTCAATCAAACTATGCATTTATTAATTTTGTTAGTCTTCTTAAAACTAATTTTTAAGGGGCCGGGGAGATGTCTCAGTAGAATAAGCACTTCCCTGGCAAATTCAAGGACCCGAGTTCAATCCCTGGTTCCACAAAAAAAAAAAAAAAAAAAAACTCTAATTTTTAGTTTCATCAACTTTTCCTACAGTTTTTCTATTTTCCATTATATTATTCATCCTCTAATGTTTTCTCTTTCTTTTCTTTGTACACTATATTGATACAGAAATTCAGGTTATTATTTTTAATGTAGGAACATATGCCTATAAATTTTTCTTTTAAACATTGCTTTAATTAATATCCCCAAATAGTATATGTAGTGTTTTCATTTCTATACATCCCACAATATTTTCTAATTTCAACTATGACTTTATTATTTAATCCATTGGTCATTAAAAATTGAGTTGTCTAATTTTAATATATTTATAAATCCCTTAAATATACCACTGTTACTTATATCTAATTTCATCTTATTTGGTTTAAGAGAACACACAGTATGTACGGTCAACCTTTTGAATTTTTTGTGGCTTTTCTGGTTACATATATTCTATTCAATGTTGCAGAAAAGTTTTTTATCTGCAGATGTGCATGAGGCTTAGTTTGTTGATAATTTTGCTCAAATTTTCCATTTCCTTGCTGAATTCTGCTTAGCTCTATTCATAATTGAAAAGTAAGCCACAGCACCTCCAGTGGTGATTACTGAATTATTCTTTCTCCCTTTCTGCCTGTTTTTACTTCAAGTGTTTTAGGGCTTCATTATGAGGTGAGGACATGTGTATAATTGTTGTGTTCCTGTTGCATTGTCCCTTTTATCATTATGACATATCCTTTGCCCCTACTAAAATTTTTTCTATTAAACTGTATTTTGCTTAATAGTATAGGTACTCCATGCCTTTTCTGATGACTGACTACATGTATATCTTTTCCCATCCTTTTTCCTTTTATTTGTATCTTCGAAACTAAATTATAGTCCTTATATGTGGCATATACTTGAGTCATGTTTATTTGTTAATCATAGCACTAATTCTTTTTATTAAAATATTTAGTACATTTACATTAAATGTAAGTATGGATAAAGTGAATGCCTGCCATTTTAAAATATAAAATATTTCATAGTTTTCTTTTCTCTCTGTTTTATAATGGGTATATTTTAAATAACATTAAAATAGACAATATTTATAACAGGTGATTTAAAAATCTCTGTCTAGTAATAAACACATCTAAGTTTCCCCAAGGACAATTTTTATGGGCTGCACTTTTTCCTGTACATGGCAGTATTTTCTTGGTTCTTTCCATGTTTTATAATGTTTTTAAGTGAAAAGTAAACTTTTGCAATTATATAATGCGGCAGCTCTGCAGTTTAGGTGTCCCTTTTCCTCCTTGGAGTTTGCGATTGTGATCTGTAGTTGTGAATTGATTATCAAATACACGTGTCAGTGAAGAAGAGGGCATTGATGTGCGTGGCTCGTGCGCTTCTTACCTTAGATGCGCGGGGGGGGGGTGCTTTGTGCTGCCCCACCTCAGCACTCGCCACCTCGCACATACTCATTTGACTGCAACCACTTCCACCTGTGCAAACTGCCTCAATTGCCACTTACAATTTTATTTTCTGTAATTTTGTATTGTGAGCTGACCGACCTGCTCCAGAATGTCTAAGTTTCTTTCTTTACAGAAACAAGAATAATAGTAGTTGGAAAGTGGATTGGTTTTGTTGGTTTTAGCATAGAGAAGCATTGTACAGAAACTCATCTTTTAAAAAATTCTAGTATTAGAACTGGCAAGATAGCAGAACAGAATAAGTGTCTGTTTAGGCGAGTGCAGGGATGGGGATTTGGTCCCCGGCACCATGTGCTGCACTGGCCCCGCCCCTGGGCGCTCTGAGCTGGCCACTGAGTGGACGTGGTGGCACATGCATGACTGTAATCCCAGCGCTAGGGAGGCTGAAAATGAGGATCACTATGAGTCCGAGCTGCATAGTGAAACCCTGTACCAAATATATATTTTTTTTAAATCTTGTATTTTCTCATTATTGCATTGACTGTACAAACTTAAAGGTAAAGCTTGAACTGAAAAATATTGCTGCTTTAGAATTGCATCACTAAGTAAGGCACCCTGATTTTGTTTTCCACTCCAGATGAGGAGCACACCACTGAACACACGCCAAATCATCACATGCCTCAGCCCCCACAGGCAGTGTTCCCAGCATGCATCTGTGCAGCGGTGCTTCCCATCGTTCATTTGATGGAGGATGGGGAAGTGCGGGAAGATGGAGTAGCAGGTGAGGTTTTTCAATGGGCAAATCACTAGTTACTTCTAAAGCTGTTCATCCGACGAGGAATAGCAAGTTGCTCTTGAACTCATGGTCTACTACTCATTGAATTGTTTTACCCACACATCGTATTGATTCATTTGCAGAACATTCAAACACTATCACTTTCTCTACCACCTTCTCCCACTACTTTTATGACCAAAACATTGCATTGAAAATGGGCAATTGGGTCCAGAGATATTGTTGATGACTGTAAAACCAAACAAGACTAATTTGGTTACATGGAAATCAGTTCTTCTGACTACTTAGAAACCTTAGCTTTTAATGAGATACCAACCACTAGGTAATCTTTCCTACTTGACTCCCTTACAGAGGTGCTAAGGAGAATAGCTGCAAAATGAAATAAAAACTAAGAGTAAAGCCAAGTTTTATTTGTAACAGACCAAACACTAATATTCTTAGTGTTAAAACTAAGTAAGAAAGAGCCAAGGAGACAGCTCAGTAGAATAAGCGCCTGCCTGGCAAGTGCAAGGTCCCAAGTTCAATCACCAGTACCGGAAAAAGCAACAACAACAAAAAAGTAAGTAATGATGTTTTTAAGAACCTCAATAGAAAAATGAACAAAGGATATAAATAATCTACTGGCCAACAACATCTATATAGAAAATTATTGTTCAAAATGAAAATGAAAGTGGGTCAGCCAGATAGCTCAGCAGACTAAAGTGCAGAGTGCAGGGACTGGAGTTCAGTCCCTGGCGTGCTGTGCCGGCCCCACCACTGGGGTGTGCTGAGATAGTGATTGAGACTGGGCATGGTGGAGCGCGCCTGTAATCCCAGCACTTGGAAGGCTGAAAACAAGAGGATCACTACAAGCTGGATCTGTGTAGTGAGACCCTGTAGACCCTGTACTAAAATCCAAAAAAAAAAAGAAAGAAAGAAAAGAAAATGAAAATGAAAATGAAACCTTACATTTCAGTTACAAAATTGATAAAGAAAATACCTGTAGTTAGTGAAGCGTAAAATTCGGTGTAAACATGGAAGAGTGTTTCACAATATGGATTGAACACAGAATTGGTTTGTAGCCATTTCCTAAAGAAATAATGAAGGCTACATACAGATTTATAAGTGACTTGATATAGGATAAAAAATATTTGGAAAAAATTTAATACTGGACAACAGGCAATTAATTTTGTCAACACCATATGATGGCAGTCTAGACACATTAGAAATCACATTCCAAAATATTAACACAAAATGTATTCTTCATGTTGCTAAGTAAAATGCTTAGTATGAAACAATATTTTCTATGTTGTAGTATTTAAATATATGTTTTATGTGAAAAAGAGGACATGCTCCAAACTGCTACTATTTCTATGCTTGGAAGAGTTAATAGTTTTTTCTCCCTCTGTATTCTTTGTGTTCCTATGCTGCAAGTATTCAACTCCCTTACTGGAGCCAAAAGAATTTTTAAAAAAAATTTTTTTTTTCTGGAACCAGGGATTGAACTCAGGCCCTTGCGCTTGCCAGGCAAGTGTTTATTCTACTGAGCTATCTCCCTGATCTAAAAAAATATTGTAAAGATTTTTTTAAACCAATTTTAACTTAAGAAAAATTCACATATGTTTTATTTATGAAAGCTAGAGCTTGTATTATGCATTTCTTATTTATACTTTTGATTATATAGCTTCTAATTTTTGTTGTGTGGCTAACTGCCAAAACAAAACTTAGTATCATTTATTCAAAATATAGGTTGAATGATAAATTCATGCTAAATTCTAAACTCCTACTTTAGAAAACTCATGCAGTAGGGGAACAGTATTAAGACTGATGACTGTCCAGTACTGATTGCTGCTCCTTTTGCCCAACTGCTTAGTTAGCCTGGGCATATCTGGCAAATTTCAGCTGACCACCTTGTCCAAAGTACCATTTTGTTTTTCATTAGGATGATTTATTCATGAGACTTCCTCTTAGAAATAGAAACCTAATTATTACTGGCTCAACTACCTTATCTTGTTGAAGGAGATACTATAGGCATCCAGGCAAATGGTAATGGACCACCACTACGGCCTTTTCAACCAAAATATACTTTCAAAAATAAAATATTTACTTTAGGAATTTACCTACACACTAAGCAATGGAATATGGGCTTAGCTTAATAAAAACATAGTACTGCTAATATTACAGTGCTTTTCACAGCAGAGACAACTGCGTATATGCAATCCTTTCATAAAGCAATGCCAAAACCTAGAAACCATCTTATACCTTCTGTTTCTTTTGTTTGACATGTCAAATGTTTAGAGATAACAAAAATAAAGCACATATCTACCTTTCAATAGAAAAAGTTCAGAGAAGCTTTGTAAGGAAAGAAAAGAGACAAATTAAGAACTAGCAAATTGAGCCTGGGCGTGGTGGCACGTGCCTGTAATCCCAGCTCTTGGGAGGCTGTGAACAGGAGGATCACTGTGAGTCCGATCTAGTAGTGAGATCCTGACACCCTGTAGATCCTTCCCTAAAAATACTAGATAAATAAATAAAATAAAAAAGATTAACATCCCTTGTCATCTTTTTTAAATATCATACACTCTTCCGTAAGAATCTGTATTTTAATAGGTAAATCTTTAAGTGTTTTTTTCCTTCTACTGTAATTCTGTATCATACCTTGCTTTTGTAGAAATAAATGTACATTTCTTTCATTAAAAAGAAGAAAAAAAAGAACTAGCAAATTGAATACTTTAATAGACTTTTCTTCTTTTTAAGACAAATGTTGAATTTCTTTTCTCTCCCCAAGTGAGTGCTGTGGCGCAACAAGTCCTGTGGAATTGTCTAATTGAAGATCCATCAACAGTTCTTCGACATTTTCTAGAAAAACTGACCATCAGCAATAGACAAGTAAATTCCTCCTCCTTTAAAATGTAGTAATTTATGACATGTGAACGCTTTGAAAGAGAATGGAGAAGGGACTGCACATTTCTTGGCATGCAGCACCCATGTCTCTGATAGGCTTCCAAGAAGCGTTGTGCAAGTTGTGATCTACATTAACACCCTCCACTAAACAAGAAGCTAATATTCTTGACCACACTGGAATAAAACTGTGTCAAATTAAAGCAGATTTTGAAATCTAAAAGACACACCAATGATCAAAAAATACTAGTTCATACCTATCTTATGGCTATAGTCACTTAAGAACACTAGGCTTAGGTTCTAAAAAGTAAGGGTGATTATAGACTTCTGAATTTATTCTTTCTTGGTTTCACTTTATCTCTTTGACTCAAAATCCAGGAAACAGAATTATCAAGTGTGACGAGCCTGGTATGTTTAAGAGTTTCTCCAGCACAGACCTTTGCTACACTCCTATCCCAGCTGGAGCCCCTGGCAAATAACTAAATACACAGCTTTCTAGCGATTTGCCTGTGACTTGTAGAGAAGGGGTAAATTTGTCTTTCTTATTACTGTTTTTAAAAAGACATTTCTTTGACTACTACTTAGTTCTATTGATCTGTTGGCTCTTAGCAGAGAGGTGCTCCAGATGATTTAAATATTAAGTATCATGTATACTATAAGTATAAATGTGCTGGGATGACTATACTAAGAGTTGAAATTAACTGTTGTGCAGTAGAAAAGTACCCCCCTAATGTTCAAGAAAATAATTGTATGTCCTACATCCTGGCACCCGAATGAGTCATGACAAATTCTGCTCTTCTTTCAGGATGAGTTGATGTACATGCTGCGCAAACTCCTCTTGAACATTGGAGATTTTCCTGCTCAGACATCTCACATCCTGTTCAACTACTTGGTAAGTTTCAGCACCCAGCAGATAGAAACAGTCATTTCCAATGAGAAGAGAAGCACAAGGAAAAGTTCTTCGGATAGTTTTTTCCCTAAATCCCCCCATTGATTGCATGTGTGAGGTGAATCACGGTCAGCTGTCGTCACCACTTCTAGTACGGGGAAGACCCTTCCTGCCACAGTCTTTGGTGCATGATGAATTCGCAGTAAAAATAAGTTTCCCTGGTCTTCCCTCCTTGTTATGCAACTTCCTTATGTTGGCTCCTATCATTTTTCATCATGTTCCCCTGTTCCTTTTTTGCCATTCAAAGCCCACACATGCTGGTGTTTCCTTAGATAGAGTATCTGTGTACGTATTTTTCTCTGGCAACTGTCTATGCTTTTACCTATTCCAACAACTCTTTCCTCACCCCTCCAGAATGTTCACCAATTGCTTCACTTTCTATTCCTCTCTCTACAAATGAATATGCAGTTTGGAAATTGAGGCATAACGATTATTCCTTGAAACTGTATCTTAATCCAGGCAGACACATAGGAAACTAGCATCTCTCTGGGAAGAAATCTTCCTTCTTTCTCCCTCACTATCATCAGGGAATTGTTATCCCTGTACATATGGATCCACATCCTGGTGATAAATTTAACTCACATTACAGCTCCAAGGTGCAGAGAACATTTGTAATTCTTTGCTATCGCCTGGGACTAATTTGATCACACTACGGACTGCCCACTTGCTGGCTGGAAAGGGACAAAATATAAATAAGTATCCAATCTACTTTTAAATTGAGATGGGTACAAAAATATAAGCAGTATTTCTAGGCAGTATTCAGTTTCTCTTGGATGTGTGTGCTTAGCCTTCAGGAATCCTCTCCCCTCCCACTGACTTCTTTTCTTAAAGCTATGTGGGCTTGAGGGGGATAAAGCTTTTCCTCATGGTCTATCCCGTTTCCCATCTGGCCCATTAATGAGACAGTGCTCTTTAGGTTGCTGGATACCCAGCTGTCAAAAGCTGAAGCAGAGGGCTGCTGTGACCTGAGACCCATGTGCTTCCACTGGAGATTGCTGGGGGACTCAGCTCACCTTGGCCCTGGCTGGTGCTGTAGCCCCCCAGCCTACCCTGTGACCCCCAGATAGCTCCAGCATAGGAAGCCCCTGGCTAGTGCATGCTGCTCGGGGACAGCAGTATAGGGACAGCAGCCTGTGGTGTTTCCATCCAGAAAGCTCACCAGTTAAGCATTCCACCACTCTAGGTCCTGTCTGTGTCCCACAAAAGCCAAAGGTAGGTTAGCAAAGCGAAACATGAGGGCCTTGTTCGGTTTCAGTCTGAGCATTTCCAAGTTTGTGTTGCATCTATGTTAGTCTAAGAGAAGCTCTGAGCTCCTGGCAGCAACCCAAACATGGATTTCAGCGTGACCTTCACTTGTTTAGGTTTCAGTATTTCTCAAGTCATTGGATACTGGGAAAGCTTCTGTGGGCCATGGTGTCCTCTGTCCTTCCACCTAGAATAAGCAGATGAATGTAACATTGTCCTTCTCCTCTGTTTTCCTTCTGTCAGTGCCAGATAGGCCTTAAGCTTAGATGTACATCCTCCCAACTAAGTATTTAGTAGAATGGAAAAAATAGCCACACTTTGACCTTGCTGTACCATCTTTGTTTTACATGAATATAAATTCCCATATTTGCATTTTTGTCCAGTTCCCCATCATTCCAGGCAGATGGGTGCTTTGGCTGGACTAGAGAGGGGCCTTACACTTGTACAGTGAGGAGACAGAGTCACTTTTAAATGATTACACACATAGTGCATCCTTTTTTTTTTTTTTTTCTAATGCTAGACTACTGAGGATGACAGGAATGCTGAGAACATGGACCCATCAGTCCTAGACTCTGCAGAATATTTAAAGCTGCTGTGTAATCTGACCTAGTGACCTACAGGGTAGGATGAGAGTACCTGTGTGGGTATAAGAGACATTTGAAAAGGTCTGATGTCCAGATAATTTAAAGGAAATAAATCTCAAAATCCTAAACTTACAAATATGTACCAGCCCTTCTTGAGTTTATCTGCTATCTGGGTCCCCACTGTCTTGCTATGGCATGGGAGGTCCACCCCTGCACCTAGGAATCTGTCACCTGGCTGCACTGGCAGCTGTGTAGGCAAAGACAGAGGCGGAAGTGCGTCTATGTTCAAGGAAACCACATTTCCGGTTGGTGGAGACACATTAAACTCTGCAGGCTTCCGGCCTTTCTGTCTTCTGCCGATTTCTGCTCAAGGTGGGGTTTGGTTCTCAGGGTATTCCACATTTAGAACCACCAGAGCAGATTAGCTTCATGACGCTGATCCTGCCCATGTAACTAGAAAGTTTCCAGGATTACCAGATTTTTTCAATGAAAAAAGTTTAGTTTCTTACGATTTTCTTGTACACTACTGAATAAGGTAATCAAGTTATTTCATCCTGTATTACAATTAGTCCTCAACTTATTTAAGTATGGATAACATTTAATATATTCCAAGTAGAGTATTCTTAAGGAGATTGCTCCACACATTACACCACTCCCTGTAAATGGTGTTTGGGGAAACATCAGTTACAGACTTCAACTTTGGATGCCTAATAGCTGAGCTTCCAAATGATGTGACATCTGGAAAAGCGATCTTCTGCCTTAACGTTAAGTGAGATAAAACAGAAACACAATCATATATATAATATATATATGTTTTTTGTTCCATATATATGGAATATATATAAAATTATATTAAATATG